CACAAAAGGGCACACATTTTGACGAGTGGAATGTAAACAAGTAAGAAGGTATGATAGGGCGTTGGTGGGATAAGAGGGCAAAGAGTAAATAGATAGCCCAGGACATAAAGAGGAGTGATAGTGTGACCGTTTTCGGCAGAACATTTGTCAAGGGATTGACTTCACTTGTCTCTTTGACGAGTTCGTAGCTTTGTGCGTAGAATAGCAAAAGTCAGTGATGATGCCCGCAAACTTTTGAGAATGTACCAAGTACACTGTCTGATGCTTTGGGACTCACTCAAACTACTCCAGGCAAGGGACATAATAGTCATGTAGCTCCTTTCGACATTATATGGAGTTGATGAAGTTTATCATGCCTCTTGGGCACTGGTGTTGGCAAAACTTGACCTCAAAAGGACACTGATTTGAAATGCTTGATTTCTCCCCTCTCCATGTTCGGATTCCGGGACAAGCTCAATAAACCCTACGTGAGCGTTTTCATCATAAAACCTGGGTAAAGCTTAAATAGATCCTTCTCCAGCAGCCACTCATCACAGACATTCAGTCTGCCACGAAAGCTGTAGCTATCCTTGCAAAAAAGCACTGCACACCGCACAAAAATTAAAAAATTTGCGTCCAAAGAATAGAAGAATGGCAGAAACATATTGAACTACGAATCGAGTAATGTCTAATGTATGGACTAAAGCCGAGTTATGTCTCTCGCAATTATTCAGAAAGCATTTATGGTACCATGGCTGAGTTGTTCATAAACAAGTGGCAATCTCCATTCCCTGGTAAAAAGTTAATGCAAATCTAAGAATGCGAATAATTTCACAAATATCTAAGCAGCGATAAGCTTTGAGTTCTGAAGAAATCATGTTAAGAATCAAAGTGCAACTGCATATGCTAATGTGCAGAACCTGGCGACTATAGTGTTCCATTTAGAAATAAATACTTCCTCAGAGCTATGTTGAGAAAGAATATCTCCCTAAGTAAGAAATGTTAGTACAAAAATACTTTTAACAGATTCAGGAAAGTTTAGCGAGTCATAATGAAGTCATTCAAAGTAGGGGCAGTGGATGATTAGAGAAGTTAAAGCAGTTTGGTTGTTATGTGCAGTCATCTTAGATCAGCAGCGTAAAAAAATGATTGTAAGGCCTGCTAACATCGGGCCTGATACTCCAAAATGACTCTGCCAGGGCCACTTCTCGGGTGACCTGGACTTGTTCCTCTCCAAATTTTGTAGACTTATATAAAAAGATATGGCGGACTGCCGAGAGCTCCGAATAAGAGGAGACTATGGAGCATCTATAGCGGAGCTCAACGCACCATAGTCCACGACCTATCTAAATTTG